AGGAAAAGACGAGCTTAATGTAGGAAAAGACGAGCTTAATGTAGAAAGACAAGCTTAATGTAGCAAAAGGCCTTTCTTAAAGTAGCAAAAGGCCTTTCTTAAAGTAGCAAAAGGCTAGTTAAGGTAACAAAAAGAAGCTTACGATAGCAAAAGACAAACTTAATGTAGCAAAAGGCCAGCTTAAGGAAGCAAAAGGCTAGCTTAAGGAAGCAAAAGGCTAGCTTAAGTTAGCAAAAGGCTAGCTTAATGTAAGAAAAGACAAGCTTAATGTAGAAAAAGACGAGCTTAATGTAGAAAAAGACGAGCTTAATGTAGAAAAAGACGAGCTTAATGTAGAAAAAGACGAGCTTAATGTAGGAAAAGGCTAGTTAAGGTAACAAAAAGAAGCTTAAGATAGCAAAAGACAAACTTAATGTAGCAAAAGGCTAGCTTAAGGAAGCAAAAGGCTAGCTTAAGGAAGCAAAAGGCTAGCTTAAGGAAGCAAAAGGCTAGCTAAGGTAGCAAAAGGCTAGCTTAATGCCGCAAAAGGCCTTTCTTAAGGTAGCAAAAAGCTAGCTTAAGGTAGCAAAAGGCAAGCTTAAGGTAGCAAAAGGCCTTTCTTAAGGTAGCAAAAAGCTAGCTTAAGGTAGCAAAAGGCTAGCTTAATGTAGCAAAAGGCAAGCTTAAGGTAGCAAAAGACTAGCTTAAGGTAGCAAAAGGCCTTTCTTAAGGTAACAAAAAGCAAGCTTAATATAGAAAAAGGCAAGCTTAACGTAGCAAAAGGCAAGCTTAAGGTAGAAAAAAAGGCAAGCATAAGGTAGCAAAAAAGGCAGGCATAAGGTAGCAAAAATCAGCCTTTACACAATTCTAAACTGCAGTGATACAGGCCAAACTATGTCTACCTTTTAAAATGGGCCTCAGGCTTCATATACCTGTCATTGTGACAGTATAAATCCCTTTAATTAAAAAGATGATCTTCTATTTCTGCTGGACATATACCCCAAGGATTTACTCACTAAAGATCAATGTTATATATTGCACATTCTGTTGCTAGTGGCAAGAAAGACTATTACCCTAAATTGGATTAAGCCCTGCTCACCAACTGTTGCTCAATGGATGCAAACATTGAAACATGTCTATGTGATGGAGTGTCTGACTGCCCAACTACAAATGAAAACGGATATTTTCTTACAAAATGGTCACGACTGTTCATTTTATTTGACTAATCTCTGTATGTTGCTTCTGCATGTGTGTACTGTTTGTTTTGATGGGTGTATCTTGAGCCCAGTCTAAGCACTTTTTAGTTTTTCATTAAATTGCCTTTGTTCTTGTATTGTAAGGCAATAAATAAAAACAGAAATAAAAGATGATTTGAATTAAACAACAGCATTGAATTTCAGTTTGTGGGTTATGTAATATTTAATCAATTTCCTGCGGGATCAATAAAGTTCTTATCTAAAATTTGTAATCAATGAGTAAAGTACATAATACTAGATAAAAAAAATTAAAAAAGCATTGTGTTTATAACTGTACACTTTTCTTTTCAGGGTGACTGTGATTAAAATACATTTCACGTTTACCGATAACTAAATTTGAGCCCTTCCATCCAGACTGGTCCTGGGGTTGGAAAAATAAAATGTTGACTTTTTTTTTTTTTTTTTTTTTAACCATATATGCTTTTTTTGTAACTTAAAAAAACTAAGAAAATGATGATTGCCATCTTTATGCCTATACAGGTAAACTATAAAATAAAAACCGTGATTTCTAGTTTCTAAATTTTATTATATATACAACATACACAGTTGCATATCTTTCAACTGGGAAAGGTATATATTTGTAGTTTACAAACATTTTCTTTTCTCCAACTATTTACAGATTTGGATAAAAATCAAGACAAATTACTGATTTTCTGTGCAACGTATGTAACAATCTGGTATGTAAAAGGAAAAGTTGATCATACAACCGGCTAATATCTAAGATTCAAAGGAGAAACAAGTACACAAACATAATGCAGCAAATCTTAGTTTTTACACTTGCTGTATCAAAATTCATCTTGAGCTTGTGTAAAATGCGTAATGTTATGCATGTTACGTTATGTACGCCTGAAGCAGGCTAAATGCACAGAATAAGTCTTCAGGGGAAACTTGATTCTTTTGTAAAAATAATCAAGGATGGGTTAGGCCAAGATGACCAGAAAATCCTGGCTTTGTCTTCTATGGAAGTTTTATCTTGCAAAAGCTCGTTTGTGCCTCGTGTGTCATTCATATGAGGTAATCGGAGTGCATACGCAAAACTGTGGCAATGTCTGACTGAGCACCTATTTTTATATTCTGCAGAGTAGTGCAGATTCTATGCATTCAGCGTGTAGATCAACTCAAACTCTTACACATTAAGACATCTTTGATATCCTTTTTTATTGTCATGTGAGCATCTAGATTTAACACAACCAGGCCTGTGAGTGTAATTTTGTGCTCTTGACGTTTTTCCTCAGTGTCAGCGTTTCACAACAAGAACAAGATTTATTCAGTGAGTTGCCACAGATTTGATTACAACAATAAAATCCATGAAGCCGTTTCTGACTGAGCAGATTTGAGTCCAGTACCCTCCGAGAATAGACCTGCCTTTTCTTGAGAAAACTGACACGAAACATGAGTGGCAGAAATTGCATTCTGCATCCAGATTTTCCCTACATTACACATCTCTTTGGCTTGTTGCGCATGCCTGAGGGTCTAAGGGGAGTAAGAACCAGGTCTAGACAGGACAGGCGTTTGTGTGTTTGAGGCTGCATGACTGGACCTGCGGAGCAAAACGCTTGCTGTGGTGAACAGAGCTGGAGTTTGTGCCTCAGCCTCCTTTATTTAAAATACAGAGGCAGTGTGTTAGCATGCCTACAGGAACCTACTAATGTACTGAATAAAAATAGAGGGTAGAAACAACCGTCCAACTGTTAAAGAAGCAGAAAACACAAGAAACGTGAATATAAACGAGGTGCGTTTAGTTTAAAATTGATGGCACAGATATTTGTTTCTGCAATGATTATAATCTTAGCTTTTTCCACGACGTAAAATCCATACAGTTCAAATAAATAGCTCAAACTGGAGTTAAAGTGGACACATAATGAATGTTTAGGATGGTCTGTGTTCAGTTTTGAAACATATTATTGACTTGACCAACAGGGGTGTGGCACATATTTAAAAAGGAAGTCAGTTTAGTGAACAAGTGAGTGACGCATATCTGAAAGGCAGATCAGTCGTTGCTGGCGTTACCTTTGCAGCAGCGCAGGGTTTAGTCAAGAAAAAAAAAACAACAACTTAAAACGAGACCTGTCCTTCGTGTCCCCTGGTGGGTTCAATTCAGTAACTTTTGCATTGTCACTCAAACACACCACAGGATTTTAAGCAGCACCAGGCTTAGGTTGGTCTTTAATTTAAAACAGGATGGTAAAAATCCTCTGAGCTTTCTGTGGGTTCCTGAATCAGTTCAGCTGTCAGGTTGCAGCCACTCCGGCAGCATTCTTGCAGCAGTTACTGCTGCTGTGTTGCACAATGACCTCGGTGTCTTTGTTCTTGCCCTGCATGTAATAGTGTGTAGTGTTTTTGCTGCAAAGGAGTCGGACCTGCCCGATTTGTTGTTTACCACATTTAAGCGAGCCGCAGGAGTGAAACTTGTCGTGTAGGCCCGTTTCTCACACGTGCTCCGTTTTCTAGCAGGAATGAACAAATGTTTTATTGAATGTCTGCTCTGCTCTTCCTAGGCCAAGTCAAGGTGTTCAGAGCATTGTTTACCTTCGATCCCAGAACAGTAAGAACTTTTTGATTTGTAACATATTTTTTAGTTGCTCATTATGTTTATTATTATTTTTTCTATATTTGGTTACTGAATTATTCATTAGGCCTGTCAGGATAACAAATGTTGCTTGGCGATTAATTGTTGAAAAAATTATCGCGATAAACGATAATGTTGTTTGAAATTTGACAATAATTTGTAATTATTGTCAAATCTAAGAATAAATGGTTAATTTGTTTTGCGTGTAGTACCTTTTTTCAACCAACGGATGACAGTATAAGACTGTTTGAACCGAAGCATGGATAGTGAGGGAGGAGCATTGTCTGTAAGAAAAATGGGAGGGAGGCCCCTTGACGTGACATGGGCTGTCTCTCTTCCGTTCTCAAAATGGCGGACGCTCTGTATGGTTTGAGCTCTTTAGCATAGCATTTGTCACACAGAGCTTTTAATAAAAAAATTTTAAAATCAGTAAACAAGTTCTCAGCTTCTTTCTGCAGAGAAAAACAACTTTTTAGACGAAGGCACAGGTTTCAACCGCAAATTTTGGAGCTTCGACAAGACAGAGGTTTTTTTCCGAGGTCGGCCTGTTAGCTTAGCTCGTAGCTTAGCTTCTCAGCTTAGCTGCTTTTAACGATCCAAAAACGCGATTTTGGACGGTTAAAACAGATTTTAAAGAGAAAGGGAGGGGTCCATGAAGAGCACTGGAGTTGAGCCTTTTGTCATCCAGTGTCTTCAGTAGAAAGAGAGAGACACGAAAAAACGATAAAGCCGATAAATGAAAATGAGCTCGATAAATTTCATGTATCAATGCGATAAATTGATTTATTTATTGCGACAGGCTTATTGATTAATTCAACCTAACAGTTATTTGATTTGTTCATTCATCTGATGATCACTTTTGATATTTAAATTGAATTTGTTATTGCTAATCTGGTAAAACTGATAAGAAAAATAATTCTTCAACTCAAGAAATTGTGAATTAAAATAACTGAAGATTCATTTTGTATTGATTACTTGTTAAGCTATACAAATAGCTGACTTTTTCCTCTTAGCTTCATTTCAGCTGCAATAAGCAAAATGATGCAAAAATGTATTTTGAACAGATAAAGTTATCCTTTTTGATAACACTGTTTTATTTAATTTTTTAGCCAGATGAGTTGTACTTTGAGGAGGGAGACATTTTGTACATCTCAGACACGGTAAGTAAAAGTTCAGATTTATTTTTAGTCGTCCTCACCAAGTCCTTGTTTCCACACTAACTTTGAATCTATGCACATTGTTCTGCTTTTTTGTGAATTTTGCACTTTTTGCATTTTGTCTTTCCCTTTTTTTATGGCATTGCTCATCCATGTGTGTCTTGGTCATAAAAAATATTCATCTTCATTTCACTTCTGCTTTTTGTTTTAATGTTACCTTCATTAGTTCTCTTCTGCAATGAACGATAACTTTTTATTTTTTGGTTTTGTTTCCAGAGTGACACTAATTGGTGGAAGGGGACGTGTAGAGGAAGGACGGGACTAATTCCAAGTAACTATGGTGAGTATAAAAGAATGATGGAAGATATTTACTGTAAAGTGCAGCACACAGAGAATTAATTCACGACTGAATGATGCTCTTGGGTTTTAGTGGCTGAGCAAGCCGAATCCATTGACAATCCCATGCACGAAGCAGCCAAACGAGGTATGAATATCTAAATATTTGAACATTTCAGAGTTTTTATTTTTATATTTTGTTTCTCAAACTGTTCGATTTATTTATTTTTTGTTGGCAAACTTGGCATGTTGCTTTTATCTTTGAATGAAACAGGCAATATAAGCTGGCTGAGGGAATGTCTGGAGAACAAGGTTGGAATCAACGGGCTGGATAAGGCAGGAAACACTGCCCTCTACTGGGGATGCCACGGAGGACATAAAGGTAGCAGTAAACATGGCACCCAAAACATGTACCGTATCATCAAATATTCTTCATGCATTTTTGACATGGACACCAGGGCAGAATAATTTTTACATGGGAAGTTTGTTTTAGCTCTCCATTGTTCCTGCACCTTCATTGTTTTTTTTTTGTGTGTCAGATGTGGTGGAGTTGTTGCTGAGTCAGCCCAGTGTGGAGCTCAACCAGCAGGTAAGATGATTTTAACTTCATTAATGGGCAAAAATCAGTCTCATAATAAAACGGGAGGAGCACGGCAACGAGACAAGAAAATCAAAACCATCATCAGCCACACAGTCCACGAACTGCACCTTTTAAAATGCCTTATTGAATATGTCGTTTTCCACCGTTTTAAATAAATGAACATCAAACATCAAGCACACGGCGCCTTCCTAACATTATAGTCAATACTTTCTACCAGCAAGTGATTGTTAGCAAAGTAATTAAATAAAATGTAAGTTTTGAATTTCTTTATTGCTTGCCGCCAGGTGTGCAATAATATAATCATCCGTGTGTCTGTTGTGTGAGTTCGTTTATCTGTTGGCAAAATATATCATGAACCACTGGACAGATTTTAATAAAACCCTCAAAGTAATTAACTCAAAGAGTACATCTATAAATGATTAGATTTAGCCCAATTTCTCAGCTTTTCAACTTTAGCACAACAAAAATGGCTCCAGCTCAGTCACTGTTAGAGATTTTGAACTAAAAGTTGCTGAGCGTCATCCTCAACCCACATGTTGGGCACTAACAGATCCCACGAGATCCTCGCTCTTGCTTGCTTGTATGCTCATTATTGTATACTACTAATGAAACTAAAATAAAATAAACAACATTCTGGGCTGTATTTAAATTATTTAGGAAGGTTTGTTGCTTGAAAAGTCAGTTTAACTTTCCAGCTTTGAAGATCGGGTTCTGAAACCAGCAAGCATTTGTTGTGTGATAGTGAGCCTCTTCTGAAAATTTAAAACGAACTCCTTTTAAAAATATTAGTTGTTGAAAGTTGAGAACGAGCCATGAGAAGAGTCTAAAAGACGTCTTGTGTTTCAGAACAAACTTGGGGACACACCGTTGCACGCTGCTGCCTGGAAAGGTTACTCTGACATCGTGGAAATGCTGCTCAACAGGAGTGAGTTGTTTAAAACTTTTTTTTGTTTTTTTAAAGATAAGCTCTGCTCATCCAGTCATGATAGTTAAAGTTATACACACTGAAACTAAGAAGGATAAAGATAGAGTGGGGTGCACCAAGATTTGCTCAACTCTGATGGTTCCAGTGTGTTTTTATATATTTCTAATGGCGGTAGTGATTTTATTTTTACAGCTAAATGAGTGTCGTGTTTGTTTCAGATGCGAGAACAGACATCAAAAACAACGAGAATAAACTGGCTTTAGAGATGGCCACCAATGCCCAATGTGCTTCACTTCTGAAAAGGAGACAGTCAACCAGTAAGTTCTGCTGACATTCTGAAAGTAGTTCTCATACAGAACCACACTGACTGGGAACAAGACTTACTGTCACGACAATAGAAACTGTTAAGACTGATCTTTTTCTTTTAAACATTATTCTTTTACTTTCAGAAGACGTCTAAGCCTTTATGATGAAGGCATAGGATTCAGAAAAAGCTAAATTTAGTGGAGCTTCTGCATAAAACAGATTTATGTTTCTAATTTCTAGTTAAATGTGTTCTTGACTGGATCAGCTGTAATCTACACAAAGCGATCATATTCCTCATTTACTGATTATTTCCACGTCAAACTTCCTCATAGAAAATAGTTCCACTTTTCTTTGACATGCTCTTTTAATATTGTCCTTTTCACAAGTTTACAATCTGATTTGATAATTTTTGGCTTTGCATTGAAAAATAGGGTAAAATGGAGAGTAAAAATATTGGACTATTTTAATCAAACTGTTACTTTTGTGTCCAGTCTGACGACCCTGAATGAAAATACCAGTTTCACAGTATTTAAACAAATGTTTAGAAATGATCACAGACTGTATTTTCTTTTAGGAGCAAACAATGCAGTTGGTATTACTTTTGCTTAACATTGAATGCTTTATTGCTATAATGGTGTAATGATACTAAAAATGGTATTTTTAAAACTGCATTGAAATTAAAATAAAATGGAGAGGACACCAGAGAACATGTTGACTGTCTCTCAGTTTAAAAGCTGTGGTCAGCTCTTCCCTGCATTTTGGACAGACGGATTAATGATCAGCTTTCTAATTTATATTTTTATGTACAGTGATAAGAAGATAAAATGATAATTTTATCACAAGCTGTGAGAATAAATGTAAAGTTGGAATGTAGTAAAATACCAGAGTCAACAGGCTGTTTGATGTACAAATCTAAATCAATGTTGGCAATTAATTAGCTGGGTTATTAGCCTCTATTGAGCAAGTACTCTGCCTGCTTACATGCTACCTGCTTTAAGAAAGTGTTGGCTTGGTCAGAGAGATAGTTGCCACTCCTCTGGTAGACAAGCCTTGACTGACTGCGTTAAATACGGGGTTAAATGTAAAACCAACAGATGTCTTATTTTAATTTTTTCTTGGTCCCCTTTGCGTAGTAAAGAGGAGGCTTGGAAATACAACGTCTTGCTTGTGAGCCGGATAACTTGAAAAATAAGCAACGCTCCGACTTCAACTTTGGTGCGTGGCTGCATCTAAGGTCACTATCAAAAATTGGGTTGCCACATCAAAACCCAAGATGGCTATCACTATATAAAAGTATAGATCCTCAAATGATGGGGGTGGGTGGATGAAGATTAATCTAAGGTGGCCAAAGGCACCGTTGGCCACCACCAGGCGCTCTGGCATTACGCCTAGTGGTGGCTACAACTGCTCGCACCGCTCACCAGGATCTGTCAGTCTGCGCCACACTGGACAAGCAAAAAAGAAAAACCCAACTATTTTTAAACAGCATAACTCCTATTTTGAATATCTTGCACAAAAACATAAAGGTTTGCTTGCATGACTTAAAAACACTGATTACTGGCCTATGTGTTGAAGAACGTGGATAGCAGTAGAGGCGTCTTTTAAGCTTTAAATGTTTTCAGATAAACTATAACATATTGTATATTTGTTTCTAACTTGTTTTATTTTTTCCAGCCGTCTACCGCAGACCCAGCGACGCTGAGGAGTATTTGGATGACGAAGATTCAGACTGAGCTTGTCCGGGACCAGATGAAAACATTTTCACATTCTTCCTTTTGTTCGTTGTAGAGGTGGAACTTTTGGAGTTTTATTCCAGACCTGAAATGGACTTGCATGTTCACGCTGCAGCTCCATTTTAGTTCAGATATTTTGTTCAAACCCTTCAGTTCTTGGCTCTTCACATCCTGTCAGTGTAGATTTCAAAGCGCTGAAACGATCTGATTTTTTTACAGCTCGTCTGCTTTTTCTGGTGCACAGCTAGACGTAGGGGATTTATCTTGGAGCATCAGGAGCACACTGTGGGCTCAGAGGCAGAAAGTGTATATAGTGAAAGAGAAGTGACCAACGTTATTGGGAGACAGATTATATTTAACCTATTATGACGGAGAAGCAGTTCACGGAATGTTTAATGCTTCCCCTTTAATGCAAATGAGATATTTTATAACATATTGAACATTTAACATGTCACTGGGCTTAATGCGGTGAACAGTTTTGAATGGCAGTAATCTGATTAAATTAGCATATTACTCCTCGTTTTTTGATCTGTTTGAGCTGCTTTATAATCTCGTCATCTTCCGATGGTTTGATTTCCATCATGGGAGCAAATTTCTGCTGCTTTTCCAACGAAGATGATAAAAAGTGCCTTAACTATTTGCAACAGAGGTTGTGTGTCTTTGATTGTGTATCACTTTAACCTCGTTTTTGTCTTGAGGTTGGCAATTAACATTTCTAGATTTTTGCCATCTTCAATCTGTAATAACTTTACTACATTGTTCAAAATGGACAACTCCATAAAATGTCAAAAACATAAATAACTGCTTTACGAGTTCTGAAATTATTTAACCTCAAGTGTACAAAAGACAACAGATTTCACCTCCATCCATCCATCCATCCATCCATTTTCTTTACCCGTTTATTCCATTTTGGGTCACGGGGGTCGCTGGTGCCCATGTCCAGCAATCACTGTGCGAGGGGCG